GGATCGTTCCGATTGGTTCGGAATGTTCGCCTGTCAATCAAATATTTTGGTAATCTCCCATGGGAGAGTTTCGAGGGACTGAACAAATCATCTCCGCAAAACAAAATCAAAATATCAAAGAAGCGTTGACCGGAGCGTCGTCGATCTTGAATATTTGACGGGAAAACAGGGCAATTGTTTTGAAGCCTAAGCAGGAAAAAAAAAAAATGGCTGATTGGCTGGGAAAACTGAAACCAAACAAGTTGTCAACAGGATGTCAAAATGAGTTGAAGGGGGCGGCAGTTGAAAAGGCCACGAATCCGGGCAGGCGGTTTTTATTTTTCTCGCGGCTACGCCGCTCCTGCGCCCGGCTCGACAAAACCGCCATGCTACGCAGGCTAGTCTGAGCGTGCCATTCTGGTAATCATAATTTACTGATCACCGACAATAATTATTTCCAGATTATCCCGAGTTGCAACACATAAAACGTCATCCAGATAGTCAAAGACTGCAAAGAGCTCGAGTGTTTCATCAGGAGACCTGCTCGTTAAAAGCACATCCAATTACATGTAAATGCTAAGGGTTTTTAAGTTGTCATTTGTAGCCAGATTACCTCAAAATCATCTTCCAAGTCTTGGTGTCTTCAGCACTTTAACTCCACCATTACGATTTTGCTTGCGATCAAGGCGATGGACGGTGTAACATGAATTATTATTTATTCAAAATATTTCCCCGATTCCAACTGGCTAAAAGCACACGCATAATTCACCATAACAAGCTACTGATGACCAAATTTGGAAGAATTTTGCGTTTAATGAACCGATAACGTCAAAAGTGCAGCTTTCTTGCAGGTTAAAGCATCTGTAACCGACAATACCTGGGGACGGGGTTGAGTTGTTTTGGTTGTGAAAACAAAAATGGCGGACATTTCACTCGTTTCAAGAATAAGAACTAGGTGAAATAATAGCTAAAAACATGACAAGAACAGCAAGAATACAACTCGAAGGGCGACATCTGTTATTTGAAGAATATTTTATTTGCTGAGCTGAACAACCCTAAACGTGCACTATCGATGGAGATAAGTATGTTTCAGCCATGTTTTTAAACTACGAATTATTTTGAATGAATAATAAAACAATTATTGAATTCGGCTTTCGTATCATATGAAGAATTATGGAGATCAGAGGGGATTATCCGCCTCGGCGTTAACACCCTCTTTGACTGATCTCTATAATTCTCGGGTAAGATACTCAATCTCATTCATCAATTGTAAATTAACGTTAACGCTAATCTGCTATTTATAGGAAGTAATCCTTTTAATACTAACGTAGCTTGCCAAACTCGAGCACAAGAATTTCGCATTACGCACAGATAAATTACTTACATACTCAGTTGTGACTGAAAGGTCTCAATTCACGTCAGAACACCGCGGCTTCACTAACAAGCAAAATGTCCTGGATTCCAAATATCCGCGTTCAGCGATTTTTTCAGCAACTGCTTGTCAACTTCAGGCGAATTGTATCAAATGTTCGTCATTTTGGCGGGGCCCTCTTTCAATGGCTTTTTTGTGGGCGTTGGAACAACCGAGAGACTCAGTTGGAACGCGGTCTTAATCAAGGTAAACTGAAAGGAAACGAACTTTACTGGGCAAAGCGGAAAAGTTGTGTATCAGTAGGAAGATGCAATGTGAAATTGAACACATCAAAACACAAATATATTGTTGCTACTGATAGGCAAGAACCAGTCGAACCACTTTCTTGCGTTGTGTAGAAAGTCCTTTTTTACAAACCACGTCTATAACAAATTACATGAATAATTGTAACCTATAATGTTGTTCATTTTCATTAGCTATTAATCATCACAACAATGAAGCTCAGGTAAGGCGTTCAAGTCTGCACCGTGAAGAAGGCAAGAATATAAAAGAACCTGTGGAGAATGATGAGGGTAAGGTGATAAAATTTAAACAACTAAGATAGATTCCGATTTAAGAATACTGACCTTCTACTGAAATAAAAGCCCTAAAAGATGGTTCCTTCATAAACCATGCAACTTACAATACATGACTATGTCTTATGTCCGGACGGAAATCGATCTAATCATGTTTGAGCCGGTTTGGAGATCTATGGAAGGCAAACATCCAAGTGAACGAAAACAGGCTAGGATTTCAGCTGATTTTGAGCCATTGTAAGTTCATCGCTCACAAATGTTTTTGTGCATGTTTCATAGAGTCGAAATAGAAATGAATTTTTTGTTGCTTCGGTCCATAATTCGCAGAATTTTCTCCCTTTCCGCTATGGCCTCTTTGCGAACTACCTTCGAAACAGCCTTTCTTTTAACAACTGATCTTACTCCTTCTACTCTAGCGTTTTGGCGCGGAACTGAACTATCTTTTGCATAGGCCCTTCTAATTTATCACTGAATCATGCTCGAAGTGAATGCTGTGCGGCTTATTGAACCCCTTTCCATATTTCGGGTACGTTTTTTATATAAAAAAACTTTTTCCTTTTTTCTTGAGCAAGAGCACTGTCATGGAATTGTCTATCCCCCGCAGAACTCGACCTCTCTTCGATGAGGTTGTCGGTCTTGGAGGCCTGCAAATAAAAGCAAACTTGTTTAATTTCATCTGGGGTCGAATGCTGAGGTTCAGAAAGGACGTCGAGCAAAAACATTGTTTAATCTGGGTCAGTGAGATTGCCTTTTAAACGTACTTCTGAAGATTTTATATCAGTAAATGTTCACATTTAAACAACCCGAGACGTTGATTCTTGCGGAGTTCTTTCTTAAACGATCGACATCTTTGTCATTCCCTTTTTAGTAAACATAAGTAGAACCTGTATTGCTCCTAGAAACTCACCTCACCAATGTCCGCAAAGAGGGTCGGTTTTACTGAAGATATGGAAAGAAATATTAGGGATTTCTGACTCATTAGATTTGTGTCAGCTTGATATTTTACCCTTGTTTGTTAATACACACCTAGTGATCTTGGTGTTTAAAGAAATCTGATTGGTGTTTTCCAATTTTTGTATTCAAAACAGTGTTTTCCCATTTTCTTTGAGATGATTTTTTTTTGCTCGATGGAATTATGTGTACAACTAATTTTCATTAAGGTGATGTTACACGAGACGATTCGCAACAAGGATTTTTGGTGCAACAAAGCGTTGCAAATTTGTTGCGTCATTTTTTGAATAGTGACAACCTCGTTCCTATATTGGAACGCTGTGTTGCACTAAAAAACGTCTTTGCGAAGAATCCTATCGTGTGACATCACCTTTAGAGTAGAAGGGCGTCGATAAAACCCGGAACATGGACCATTCCGGAACATGAAAAAATTAAAATATTTTTTTATGAAAAAAAAAAAAATTAATTAATTAAATAATAATGATAATAAATAATAAAAAGAACAATAGATAGAAAACAATTTTTGTACAAATTTATAATAACAAAAAAAATAACATAACATAAAAACGAAAAATAAAGAAACAAACAAACAAAGAAAGAAAAAGAAACTGGTATATCATCTCCGAGTATGAGAAAACAATAATTTGTCGCAATGAATTTTTTTGTGAATCATTAATTTAATTATCCAAGTCCAAAGCGACGAGCTCCTAAGCTCTTCTTACGGTCGCAAAGCCGTAATTGGATAACCGTTAAACCGCATGGCAAACAATTACAAGAGGTGGCTGTGTGAGGAAAGCTTGAAAACCCCCTCCTCGCGCGACCCATTTTAATATATTTTGAATTTAGAAGCAAGCCTTCACTCATTACTGTCATTTGCATGAACCCTCACTCGCCCAACAAATTTTAATTTGTTGCGACAAAATATTATTTTCTCATACTCAGAGAGGATTTTTTTTTTTTGTCACGCAGCAAATTTCGCTAGTTGCGCAAAGTAGATACGAGTTCTACTTTTTGCAACAAACTGTCAAATTATCACTTGCGTTACAACTTGCCAACTTCCCAATTTCCCATGCGTCACACACTTCTGATTGGTCTATTTTCGTAGGTCGGTAAATATTCAGCCACTATTTACCTTGATTTCATAGCATTCGTGTCCACTTTTGTGTGGGTCTTCATAAAATAGCAGATAAAATAGTTCCAGTAGCTTCATCAGTACCCGATTAAGAGATAATTTACACGTCTTCTTTAGATAATTAAAAGAATTCTATTGTAATATTCTCCTTTCCAGAAAAATATCCGATCCAGTGTTTAGAAGCAAACTGACCTTGGCCAAACGAGCTTCAGAAGAATGATTACATTTTTTAAGGATCTTGTGATCGACAAGAGTAAATTTTCAAACTGTCAGGATTTGGAGTTGAGATGTTATTTTCTTTGGAAAAGAAATATTTTGATGTTATTTTTATAAATATTTGAATTCCGTTAAGTCACGGAATTTTTTAAAAAGACCGTTTTCAACTTAGTTGTAAAAGTAACTGAAGGGTAATATAAACCTTTATTCAAGAAATAAAAGTCAGAAGAAACAAATGTAGTGGACATGAAGTTGTTTTCCGTCTATCTGTGAAGTTTGAGCGCGTTTTTAGAGGCCTTGGCCCAGTTGTTCGAAAACTGATTAGCGCTTAACCCGGGTTTCTTTTTCTCGTGTTCAAAAGCATTTTTTCAGATAATTTTCTCTGCTATTTTTAGAACTTCCAATCATCAACTTGTAGACAGACAGAATTAAAACTGAAATGCTTTTAAAACTTTCAAATCTGAATTCAAATCTCGCACTAACCCTGGGTTATCTTAACCCTGCTTTGAACAACTCGGCCCAGGGTTATAATTCTTGGTTTGCACGTGACGTCACTAAAAAAACAAACTAGAAACTATGGATTCTTCCGAGTTTCTACTTTCACGAGGTATTACAGCACCTAAACACCTTTATATAAACAAATTTTGGTTTTAAAGAGTTCTTCGTTTTGCGAAAGAGGACGTTTGAAGTTCAAGGCTTTTGCGTGACGCGGTAGTTAGCTAACGGCCAGGAGAGCTCTTACGTGGGTTAAAAACATTACCGATTTTGGGAGATTTTGCTATCTAAACATTCCTGGTCTCAGAATAAATATTACTTTAATCTTTATGAGTTCCTCAAGCGAAGAATGCACGCATTAGTAAGAAAACTTGAAAACAGATTTCTGTTGGTATCCGGCGGCCATATGTGGGTGTCCCTGACTGAGATTCCAACATGGCGTTTCCAAACAAAGCTTTATAAACTTAGGTAAGTCGTTTTTCCGAACATCTCGCATTTGAAATATTACACAGACCTGATTTTGGGCAAGATGTTTTGTATATTTATCTTCTTTCATTTCCCAGATTCTAGAAGTTCTGTATTGCATGGTCTACATTTTTTTTTTTTCATTGCGTGACAGTGCAAACCGAGTATTGGGGACCGGCCACTGAGTTTGTGGTAAACGCTAGTTTCCATATCTCAAATCGCCCTTGGATACCTTGTGAGGCCTACACAAAATAATTGCATACATGTATACATATATGAGTGAGCCCTGACTTTAGTGATTAGGGTTAAGCACTAACAATACTGATTAGAATTAAGCACTGAAAATACTGATTAGGGTTAAGCACTGACCATACTGATTAGGGTTAAGCACTGAAAAGACTGATTAGGGTTAAGCACTAAAAAGACTGATTAGGGTTAATCACTGACCATACTGATTAGGGTTAAGCACTTAGAATAGTGATTAGGGTTAACGGTTAGCTATCTATTTAGGGTTAGGGTTTTCGCTACAGTAGTTAAATTACTCTCATGTCCTGCAGTGGATTCTCGGTGGTCTAGAGGTTAGGGCAGGAAACTGCAGATTTGTGGATTTAGCACTCCAGGATCGATTTCTCCTCGTGACTGGCAATTTGTTTTCCTTTAAAATTGAAGAGACTTGCACTTTGACGACAATTGTTGAGCAGGAACTAAGTCTCTTAGTCAAGAAACTTAGAAATTTCATGTAAGTGTAAGTGAAAAGGGAGAGGGCGGTTTGAGGTATGGAAACAAGCGCTTACCCACAGTTTATGGAGATGGCGCGAGGGAGAAAACGATGGGGCGAGGGGGAAGGGGGAGAATTCAGTGGTATGTTAAAGTGGTTGGAGGGGGGAGATAATGTGTTTTTTTTTATCTAAGAAACAAGGACATTTTTAGGTTTCGCTATGTGACATTAATTATTTGTGGTTTAATTTTTAGTAATAATAATACTTATATAGCGCCGATATCAATATTGCTATTTTCATCAGCGCTTAAGAATAAAAATATTAAAAAAATAAAAATAAAATATAATATAATAATAATAATAATAATAATAATAATAATAATAATAATAATAATAATAATAATAATAATAAGTGCATAAAGTATACATGCAAAAAGTGCATGAACCTACCAAAAAGAGTAAAACAATTATGTCAACACTAAAACTATAAAAATTACCTAGACTACTTAAATCGTAAAAAACTGCATAAAACCTACTAAAAACGAGATTAAAAAGCACATAAAATCACAAAAAAGCTTAGCGCAGATTAGCGCACCAAGAAGCATTTTTTCCTTTTTTTACTGTGTAATTTTACAACCTGAGCCTGCTTAATATTTATCAAAGAGATACTGGCAACTGAGAAAAATAAGTCAAGGTGGGCAGGTAACCGCGGGAAACATATGATATCAAGAAGCTTTAGAGATATATCTTGAAGTAGCCTGTGAACAGGCCTTTGGTCGAGCGGAGAACTTGCTATTTTTTTCCCCAAACAGAGAGCCTGTTCACAGGCTAATCTTGAAGATATATGGGATGAGAAGTATAACCTCCTATAGCTATAGAAACATTGGTTTATTGGCTTCTCACCCAATGATCCTTCAGGGAAGTGCGTGACAAGACACAAGCTTGTCTGAATAAGAGGCCACAGAAAATACTGTTTAACTGTGAGTGCCCCTCTGTATCAATTTTATTACACAAACCCTGTAATCATTCAACTGATTAGTATTTTTTCTTAAATGCATATATTCAATTTCAGCTCTTTTAAAAACAAATCAGTATCTCGTCTAAAAATTCATGAAAGCAGATTAAAAATCAGCACTTGCTACAAGCTTATCATAGAAACACCTGAAACTTAACTGCAGTTAAAGAATTACTGATAATCTGAAAATACATGCAGGTAAACTTCTATAAAGCAGAATCATTGTAGGTCTTGTCGAGAAAGCACTTATCACCTTTGTTGATACCCACAACGGTAAACCCGTTTTCAGGGGGGTCATACTTCTCTAAGGGGGTGTCTCTGGTTAATGGTAGTGAAAACATAGCACTGTTCCCTTGAAAACAAAACCGTCAGGTGACAAGGACTTCCGAAAAAGATGATTCTGTAACAGATTCATAAGTTATTAATAGACGATGCTCACCTACATTTTCTACAGTGTTCCTTCGCCCCCTTCAATAACTGGTGCGTAGAGTGGGCTTTGGCTTCTTGATGAGTTTCTCATAGGCGTACTAGTCTTCATGTAGACATTTTAATTTATTACACAACTACAACCGACCCAACAAATAAATTTGTCTCTATTTTATATCAAGATGTATACGTCAGTTTATTGTTCCTTCTTTTGCGTCCCAGCATTTACACGTAGAATTAGTTAGTTCACCTAATCCCTCGTGGTGACGCCAAGGTCAATGATTTTCCTACAGGATCTTAGCTTAAATCCATCCAGTTTTGTTTTCTGTCGGTGTTGTATTGTCTTTCAAAACCACCGCCTTTATTATATTAGATATTTTTTTGCCAGGGAAAGCATTAACGTGTGTCCAGTATATGAGAACATGCTATTTCTAACTGTTGCTTTGAAACCCAGTCGAGAGTCTGAATGTTTAACTGTACATATGCCAAAATACAAAAAGGTTATTAACACACAGGATTCAACTCACCTCCTCATCCATATTAGCAAGCTTTTCAATCCGACTCAGTCCGTGTTAAACAGCGGCAATCTCGCGGAATTGGAATTGGTACTGAAGTCGGAAGACCGTTCTCGGCTTTAGTACCTTAATGGCATGCTACTCAAGTGTGTCTTTTTGCAATACCCCCCACTTTGGTTTTTAGTTCCATTTTCTTCAGTTGATTGATTCTTTATATAAAGCTTACAAACATGTGCACTGCCTGCAGTTCGTATTAAGAGCTAGTTGAGCGTGAGTCGTGGCTACATACGTATTAATAGAAGAGGTATATTTACAGAACAAGAGAAAAATGAGGTTTACAAGTATACAATATTGTACTAATCAGGGTTCAATCAGATATTGGATCCAAAATTCAAGACTTTTTCTAAACTTTTCCATAAAACAATAATTTCTTTTTCCAGACTCAAGGTTATCAAATAGGTGATCACAGAGACCTTAAACAAGGAGGAACAACCCTTTTTCCATGACATGCAGGTGAGATTGAATTTTGACCAACACAAAAAAATTTCACTTGTGAAGCACTTGTTGTAGTAGCTTTGAAAAAAAAAACTCAAGATATTTAACCATTTTTTCAAGACTTTTTCAAGAAATTATTCAAAACTCTGTAAAAACATTGTTAATTTTTATCATAACCAATACAATTTATAAGTAGGTGGAATATGATCGTCAGAAAATGAAGAGCTTGCTTGCAGGCTGTTATTAGGTGGAATTAAGGTTTGAGCATTTTCAAAGAAATAATACCATTCCCTGAAAACTAACCATTATAGAAACATCCTGAGTATGTGGATTTATAAAATTGCTAAGGTGGTTACCGGGTATTCTGTACCTCATGCAGCCATGCATCAGTATGAACACTCTCTGACTAGAGGTCAAATGTTAATTTATTGTGGACGATTTTGTTGGTTTATCTAGAATGTGAAAGTACAATAACGAGGCCCTGCCAGCTGGTGGGGCGGGGGCATGTCGCCCGTCTGAATTTTAAAACGTCTCGTGTCGGTGTTTATAAATGCTTGTCACTTATTGTCGGCTTTACCATCACTGTCACAATTTGGCCAAGGGAGGTTGTGTCTTGTCGCCATTTCATTTTACGCGCTGTCGCTACTTTTTGGGCCACGTCGCTTGTCAGAATTTACCCTGGCAGGGCCTCAATAATACATCCATCCAACAGGTTATCAGATAAGGCAAGGTTAACCTAAGCTTCATTATGATTCAAGTTAATTCAATTTAACCTGAATTCAATTCAAGTTAATTCAAGTTAACCTGAGATCAGGCCCAATTCTAGCAGTTCTTGTGCATTCTCCCTTACTCTCTTACATGGTTGCCATGCCAGCTGCTAGATTTTTATTTACCACATGACCAAAAATAGAGCCTGAGCTCATATTAGATACTATCATGACATATCTTGAGGGTTATCCATTATTAAAAGAAATGGTCTAAATGATGACAAAATTCAAGTCCATAAGAAAGAAACCTGAGAATACTAAAACTTCGCTATTGCAGGACATGCACTAATGCACTATTATCCCCTCCTTAGCCCATGCATCCATTCAGATGCACAGGCTAAAGAAAGAAAATTCACCATTTGCATACAGACCATAATGCAAACTTGTTTATCCCCCCCTTAAAGAAAAAAATTTTGCATAACCATTGCCTTTGATTTCTCTTGGGATGACTCTAATACCTGGGAGAAACCGGAAACAATGGTTATGCAAAGTTTTGGGGGGCAACAAAGGTGGACTATGGTCTATGTAAAAATGGTGAATACAGTACTGCTGTTCATAACATCCAATATTTTTCAATGCAAAATCTAAAGTTACTTAAGTTTCTTTTACCGGTAACTCCAGTTTCAGTCTACTCAAACTATGGTAGACACTGATGGATCAGATTATAAATTTTTTAGCTCATAACAGCTAGTCTGAAATGTTAGCCATCTCTACCCCCTAACCCATCTCTCTCCTCCACGTGCATCCTCGTGGGCCACCCTCAAGTAAGGGAGTAGAAAAGGCAGGTATTTCAGATTAACAGCTGCAAGTAATGGCTATTTCAATTTTACACATGTATATAGGTCTGCTATTTATAATTCTGGATTGCTATCACAGACAAGTGTTTGTAACAGGACAAGAGTGAATTGTATGAATGTGTAAATACAATTTGTAGAAAAGAAAAAAATCAAGGAAAAATGATACAGCTACCAAATATATTTTACAGTGAGTTAATACTATGAAAAACTCAACATCACTACTGACTGTCTGTCTAAAATTGCTACATTGACCAAAGCATAGGTTGTAATGGCTGGTGAAGATTGGATTCTGCCAGCACCTACTGGCAGATGTACCCTGCATGAGTAAAATGCATGAAATCTTGTCTCATATAAAACAAGTTAACAAGTAGCTGGACTACTAGGTTCACCATTCATTAGAGCCACTGTGTCTGCAACTCGGCTCAAAAGAGCAGCGACAGCATCCTTGTCCTCCTTTGCCCAAACTATGTCAGCAAGGTACTTCTCAACTGTTCCCTCTGCTTCTTTCGGTTCTAAAGATGCATCTGGCTCTGCGGGCAAGTGTACGGTGAAGATGATTGCCACGTGTTTATGTGGTGCATTCTGATCATCGCAATATGAGTAAAACAACAGGGGTGATGGAGGCGGAAGGAGCTCAAGGTGATGGATAAGTGCTGCTCTGTGGCCTTTTTTAAAACTTCTTATTAGCAAATCATCCATCTTTTTCTTGGTCTCCTCACCAGGGTAGCTTCTTTCTTCTCTTCCATCAATTATAGCTAACATTCTCTTGTGTTTTGGATCTAATGCCTCTGCAAGCTTCCTGGCAAAACACTCCACAATGCTATGAGCAGCTGGGGGTGCTGCCAGTAACAATACAAGTGGCTGAGGGGGACTGGCGTTCTTGAGATGTGCCAAGCCACGTTTCTCTAGGATCCTCCAAAACCTGTCAGTTTGGTTAGTGAAAGAAGACTGAAGTTCCACGATCTTATTTGCAAAAATCTTAGCAAAGTTGAAATCCGGCGGCTTAGAGTCAGGAGGCAGAGGAGGGTAAACGTAAAGTAAGCGCTGAAGTAAGATAGCAACGATAATAACCAAAAAGAAAATGGTGAGGGGGATAACAGCCGACTTAAAACTGTTCATTAACCCGGTCATTAAGCTACTTGTAGGTTCTTCGGCTGGTGCACTATATACCAAGTCACCGGTCGGTTCTTCTTTGCCATCTTTGACACCCTGATGTGATCCAGTTCCTTCTTCAACCTTTTGTTGAAACGCTGTTTGACTTGTTTTGGCCCTGGAGACACGTTTTTGTGGGTTCTTGGTACCAGGTTGACCCTTCTTCTTTTCGCGGTCCGATTTTCCATTTGCTAAGTCACTTTCCTCACGAGAAAGCTCATTACCATTCTCTTTCAAAGGATCATTTTCCCTTCCTGTATTTTCATCTATTCCTGCAGGAGGTTCGCCAACTTCGTCATCTTTTTCATCATCAGTCTCTCTACGGGACATTTGGTCGTTCAATACACTAGCTTTCGATGTTTTTGAAAATCAGTAAATCAACGTAAGATTCATCAAAAGTTTTCTTGGAAAAGCTAACACCACGTTTGTAATGCGCGTTTTCCGGGAAACGTCCGCCAGGTAGCCACTCAGGAAGCAGCATTTTCTAACGATTCCTTTCATTGGTCAAAAAAATTATCGCAACCAATAGAAAAAGCTGTTATAAAGTGCCAGAACAGGGAAAGCTTCCGCATCTTCAATATGGCGAACATTGGAATATTTTTGTTCTTTATCTTGTTGTGTTTTACTCCAGTTCAAGAGGCATTCATCATCGAAAGTTGCGTTGGGACTGCGGTGTTGGGATCTTTATTCGCTTATGTGGCGCGGTGTCGTTTTCAAGAATGTTGCACAGATAGATGGATCTCGGCGAACATCACGGGTCTGCAATCAGCTTTGCGCCGGCGCGTGTTTGGACAGCATTTAGTCACCGAGACAGTGCTTAAGGCAATAGTTGGACATCTGAATAATAAATCACCGAGCAAAGCCTTGGCGCTCTCTTTTAACGGCTGGACCGGATCAGGGAAAAACTTTGTTAGCAAGATTATTGCTGAGCATATTTTTAGGGAGGGGATGGAAAGTAAATTTGTCCATCAAATCATTGCCACCCATGACTTCCCACACCAGTCGGAAGTGGACCGTTATAAACGATATCTGCGTAGTTTAGTTTCTAGTTCAGTTTCACAGTGCTCAAGATCGTTGTTCATTTTTGACGAAATGGATAAAATGCCGTTTGGTCTCATAGATGTACTAAAGCCCTACTTAGACCACTACCCTGATGTTGACAAAACTGACTTCCGGGGAAGTATTTTTATATTTTTAAGCAATACGGGAGGTCATCTGATAAATGATGCAGTCCTCCGACACTGGAAAGAGGGAAGGAAGAGAGAAGAGATTGGTATTAAAGAGATGGACAAGGTTGTTAACCTTGGCGAGTTTAATACTAAAGGTGGTTTCTGGCATTCATCGCTCATCGAGCAAAATCTTATAGATTATTTTATCCCATTTTTACCTTTAGAGAGATCTCATATTAAAATGTGCGCTAAAGTAGACTTGGAAAAGAAAGGACATCCAGTTACTGAGCAAGTCCTCAACAGCATTGCAGATGAGCTGTTATACTTCCCAGAAGACTTAAAGGTCTTTTCACAGTCTGGTTGTAAGAAAATATCAAGCAAAGTTGACTATATCATCAATTAGATTAGACAGTGGTGTGGGTTACTTATAGCGATAAACAGTTTTTCTGAATATAGTAAATCAGGCGTTTTAAAAGACATTGAACACTCGGTGTCTAACTAGGCTAAGAAAATTTGATGCTAATTTTTTCTAAAAGGAAGCATGCTCTGGCAGCTTGCAAATGCAGATCTTTTTACGGTCTATGCCTCTCTCCAACTAAAAAGTAAAATGTAACAGATGGAGGGAAGCGATGACATAAATACATGTACGTACATCCAGTGATGCAGATAAGAGATAGGTCTTGGGTCAATGACCCGACAAAGAAGGCTCCCTGACCTGATAGATCACATGTAAGTATTGAGTTAAATATAACAAAAAAAATTAGCACGTGGTCTTGGTGACCCCTCAGATGGCCTACATTCATGACCCCCCGCTTGAAAGAATCAGCTAGAACACTGTACGTCTGCATTGGGTTATTCCAGAAAAAATCCACACCCCCATAACAGAAGGCACATTTTTTGACCCTCCTTTCATCTGGAATTCCAAAACTGCATGAGCCCCCCCTCCCCTCAGGATTTCCTAATTCAAAAGTTCTTTCAGGCATTTAGACAATCTTTTATTAAATAAGCCTCAATTCTCTTAGTTTGATTTCTGTGTTTGTTGTGAAAGTTAGATTATATATTTTCACATAAAAGACTTTCACAGTTTGCAAATAAGCTCACATTTGAGTGAACTTCTCTTTTTTCTTAGACCAGGCAAAATATGCAGCGAAATATACTACAAAAGGTAATAAAAGGTTCTCTTCTTTGTTGAGAAACAGTAATCACCGAAAGGTGATTTTAACTGGGCTGCTAAGGGGCCATCTTTTCTGAGGGGAGGGGGCGGCTGTATGCACTTATTGTACCCTTTTGGAAGACTTTCGTAACAAGAAATATGAGTACAGTCTAGATTTCCTGAGTCATTAACCCCCTCTCCCGTGAGATTTTCCAGCATGCCTTAGGTCGTGGGGGTTTGGATGTTTCCTGGAATAACCCATTCACAGATTAATCCACTGGACGCCTGGACACCTTTTTGGCTAAAACCGTCAATTATCTTGAACAATAAATTAATGTCAAGAAAAGTGGACATAATTTCTTAAGTGTAGTTCCATCAGCAGTTTCAAGATAAAGCTCTTCAAAGCACTGGCGATTACAAATACCTCCCCTTCCTTTCTCCAAAAAACAAAATATGCTGAAGTCCAACTGGATATTTTCTGCTCTTGACTGAACAACATTGACCCCCCACTGGTGGGGTGGGGGGAGGGGGTCACTGGATAGGATCCATTGTCCCCAGTATGAGGGTTTTGTAGTTGAAGTGCAAACTTCTTATGACTTTTCTCTTGACCTTGTTGGAAAAGGAACTTAGGGCCTCGAATCTCAGCGACAGGGTTGATGTAATTGTTTTATTTCAGGTGTTACACTAAGGACAATGACAAATGCATTAGCCAGGCTGCTCATTAGAGGAGTTGTCAGTGAGCACATAAGCCGGTAACTTTTGTACGCCACAAAAAGCTAGGAAGATACCTCTAGCTGTCTGATCTATTTTTAAATGTAGTAGAACGGTTTTTTGTACACTGAAGAAGGGTTGTACATTCAAAAGGTTTCTTTTAAGGACATGAATGACACTTTTCATTTTTTTGTAAACTGGTAACCTGCGTACGCCCGCGCGTCAATACACACACTTCATGTTGGCCGATGCCAGATGTCAGGTTATAGCTGGTTGAAGCAGAGACAATAAATACGAAACGGAAAGCGGAAATTGTCTCTGTATCCGTGTTGTCTTATAAAGTATTAAGCTTAGATTAATTGTCGTGTCCACAAATTTGGAATCTAGAGAAAGAGAAAGACAGAGAAAAAGAGAAAGTAGGGCGACAGGCTAGCGAAGTTCAACGAGAAAAACCGCTAGTGCGAGAGAGAAAAAACAAAGAAGACACTTTTTGTTGGAGGAGCAACATGGAATTTTGTAGCGGCGGTGAGAAAATGAGAAATGTTAGCGGCCACTAGGATGAAAATGAGCGACGGTGAAAAAAAAGTGACGAAGAACACGTGGAAGTTTACGTGAAGTTTCTAGAAGTTTCATGTTGTAGTCGCGCAAAACAACGGCAAAGAAATGTACAAAAAAAGTGTGTTGCACGTGCCAAAGTTGCTTTTTTTCTAATTAGACCTATTGTTGCTTTTTTATCGTTCTCGTTATGTCTACTACCCTGCGAGCAGAGGCCCTTCGATCTTCCTAGATAAACCCGACTTATCTAGGAAGATCGAAGGGCCTCTGCTCGCAGGGTATATGTCTACAGGTATTTCGAGCAAGGTTGTCGGAAAAATGTGCACGCGACAATCCCGAAAGGTAATATGGGATATGATCAATACACTGTGTTTCTGACGACTGTACCCGTCGAACCTACTTTTGTTGCTTTCCTTTAGCACTCGCAAACACATTTCCACGGCCTTGTTACCAATTCTTTCAAATTTCTTTAACAGTGAACTTAAAACCACCCACAATGCCTTTCGGGATTGTCGCGTGCACTTTTTCCGACAACCTTTCTCGAAATAGCTGTATATACCGAGCCAGGACTCGGACCCGGACTTCGAGCCAGGACGCGACGCAAAACTCGACAAGAAAGAAACAGTTTTAGGTTTCGTAATATGGCATTAATTATTTCTTTGCGTAGAAGGGAAAACCTTTGAAAACAGTCGAATAATTTCAAGGATCTAAATAGGTGAGGGATTAAACCCAGATTAAGCTTTTTTTCGCAGAGAAAGGAAACCTAAAATTGTCGGATTCGAAAATAGGATGGAAAGAGGAATCAGAAAAATTCTCACCTTTGCAAAACTTTAAGTTTTTGGCATCTAAAATTTTCGGGGAAATAATACTGAAGTTCTGGTAGTTTCCAAAAGATTCAAGTTGCTCTAGGATGACCGAACAGATATAAATTTTATAGCGCCGATTAGGATCTAAAAGTACTCTGGATAGCCTAAAAAAGTGTTATGCATTTAGGAGGAAACAGTCGTTGGGTGCCCCTTATTAAGGTTTTTTCTTTGAAGACATTTATTTCACTTGAGCTCTTTTAAATAAATACAGAAAAATTCCCAACTAAGGTACACACATACAATAAATACACCTTATTCGATGGTTTAGCATATAATACGTGCGGATATTTTGCGACTTGCGTAGTATTTTTCCGAGCCCCGCAGGAGCGAGGAAAAATACGAGCAATGAGCAGATTACATGCTAAACCATCGAATAAGAGGTTTATTATTCCACTACAAAAAAAAATTATCTGGCAATTGGCCTCTATTTTTGGTAAGAGTATTCAGAGACATTCTGATTCTGTCTGTGTGAATGACGTTAACAATTAGCAAAATGTTTGCGCGTATTATATGCCAAACCATTGAATGAGAGGTTAATTATTTTACCGCAAAAGAAAAATGGTATTTAGGCTTCTATTTTCTAATGAGAGTATCCAAAACATCCTGATTCTGTCAGCCACAGTTGCTCCTTTTGCATCCGCCGGTATTCGCCCTGTTGTAAACCGGTTAAACCAGGACACTACGGTGTATTACGGCCTCGTATTTTGCTTGTTCTCTTGACCTTATATGGTAAAATGACATAATAGTGGAATAATAATGGTATTTTACAGTTAGAGGATCTGATCTACAAATTCATGGAAACAGATTAAAAATAAACTTGCTACAAGCTTATCATTGAAACATCTGAAACGTAACTGCAGTTAAAGAATTACTGATAGTCTTTATACAGGTAAACTTCAGTAAAACAGATACCATATCTTTAGTGGCCAGTAACCAGAGTCCCAGTCTCCTCTGGTATATATGCCACTCAAGTGTGACTTTTTGCAATATCCCCCACTTTGTTTTTTTTTTTTAAGTCCCATTTTGTTCAGTTGATTGATTCGTTATATAAATCTTACAAAAATGTGCACTGCCTTCAGTTAGTAAGAGCTCGTTGAGTCAAGCAGTGGCTACACACATATGTAAAAGAAGAGGCATATTTACAGAACTAGAGAAAAATGAGGTTTACAAGAATACATGTACTAATCAGGGTTCGTACAGATTTTTGATCCAAAATTCAAGACTTTTTCCAAAACAATAATTCCTTTTTCCAGACTCAAGGTTATCAAATAGATGGTCAACAGAGACCTTAAAAAAAAACACAGGAACAAAGCTTGGTACATGACGTGCAGGCGAGATTGAATATTGACCAACACAAAAACATTTCACCTGTGAAGCACTCCATCATCAAGGCGTTTAACCATGTTATCAAGACTTACCCCGATTTTCCAGACTTTTTCAGGGTCTGGAAAATTGCTGGGCAAATTTTAAGACTTTTTCAAGAATTAAAGACTCTGTACGAACGCAGTTAATTTTGTAAACAATACAATTTATAAGTAGGTGAAATAAGATCACTGATAAGATCGTCAGTTGAAGAAAATGAAGAGGTTGCTTGCAGGCTGTAAATAAGTGGAAATAACGTTTGAGCATACATATTTTTTTTTCAAAGAAATAATACCATTTCCCTAANCCACTTTGTTTTTTTTTTTTAAGTCCCATTTTGTTCAGTTGATTGATTCGTTATATAAATCTTACAAAAATGTGCACTGCCTTCAGTTAGTAAGAGCTCGTTGAGTCAAGCAGTGGCTACACACATATGTAAAAGAAGAGGCATATTTACAGAACTAGAGAAAAATGAGGTTTACAAGAATACATGTACTAATCAGGGTTCGTACAGATTTTTGATCCAAAATTCAAGACTTTTTCCAAAACAATAATTCCTTTTTCCAGACTCAAGGTTATCAAATAGATGGTCAACAGAGACCTTAAAAAAAAACACAGGAACAAAGCTTGGTACATGACGTGCAGGCGAGATTGAATATTGACCAACACAAAAACATTTCACCTGTGAAGCACTCCATCATCAAGGCGTTTAACCATGTTATCAAGACTTACCCCGATTTTCCAGACTTTTTCAGGGTCTGGAAAATTGCTGGGCAAATTTTAAGACTTTTTCAAGAATTAAAGACTCTGTACGAACGCAGTTAATTTTGTAAACAATACAATTTATAAGTAGGTGAAATAAGATCACTGATAAGATCGTCAGTTGAAGAAAATGAAGAGGTTGCTTGCAGGCTGTAAATAAGTGGAAATAACGTTTGAGCATACATATTTTTTTTTCAAAGAAATAATACCATTTCCCTAACACTAACCCTTATAAAAACATCCAGGGTCTGTGGATTTATCAAGTTGCTAAGGTGGTTATTTCTGAACCTCAGCCACGGATCAGTAACAGGGGCGTAGCCGCAGCCCATAGACCTGTAGGCCTGCACCTGCAAATTTTTGAATTGATCACTCTACAGCTTGTAATAAATTATTCGTCTCTGGGGTGAGGTAAAAAGCTTAAGAGCTCAAAATGTTGGTGACGTCAGTGTGTACTAGTCATGCCTAGCAATTTTCAGGATGTGTGGAAAATGAAAGTCAGCCAGGCCTACAACTAGTAAGAAAGCTGGCTATGCTCCTGAGTATGAAAACTCTCTGACTAGAGGTCAAATGAGATTTTGTTGGTTTATCATAATAATACATCCATCCAACAGGTTATCAGATAAGGCAAAGTTAACCTGAGCTTCATTATGATTCAAGTTAACCTGAGAGCAGGCCCAATAGACCTTTGACACAAAGTGGCCATTTTGTCTCAGCCTCTAGCCTCGTTCTCTCTACGAGGATAGCTGTGCATAAACAAGCTTTTTAAATCTCCTGAGACAAAATGGCCGTCACGTGACAAAGGTCTATTCTAGCAGCTCTTGTGCATTTTCTCTTACTCTCTTACATGGTTGACATACCAGCTGTCAGAATTTTATTCACCACATGACCAAAAAATAGCCTGAGCCATATGTTACTTACTACCATAACATATGTTTTGGGTATTCAATTTTAAAAGAAATGGTCAACATGATTACAAAATTTAAGTCCATATAACGAAGAAATCTGAGATACTAAAATGCAGGATATGGACTAATGAAATATCATCCCCTACTTAGCCCATGCAGCCATCCAGGGGCATGTTACCTCAGTTTCAATCTACTTACACTAGGATAGACAGTGATAAATCAGATTATAAATCTTTTTGCCAAAAATGCTAGCCGTCTCCACCCCCTAAGACATCTCTCTCCCCCTACTCCACCCACAAGTATCAAAGGGGGTGGAGACAGCTGGCATTTCATATTAATAGCGCAGCAAGTAAAGGCTATTTCAATTTGACAGCTATACTAAGGTCTGCTAATTATATATTATTATATTATTATATATATTATTATATATCATTATTCTAGGTCACTGTCATAGAAAAGTGTTTTTAACAGGACATGAGTGGATTGTTCAAATGTCTAAATACAATTTGCAGAAAAGAGACAAATCAAGGAAAAATGATGCAACTACCAAATATATTGTAGGTTGAGTTAGGTTGTCTGTCTAATATTGCTACATTAGCTTGTAATGGCTGGTGGGTGTAGTTGTATGTGTAAAATGTATGAAATCTAGTCTCATATAAAACAAGTTAACAAGTATCTAAACTACTAGGTTCACCATTCATGAGAGCCACTGTGTCTGTAACTCGGATCAAAAGATCAGCTACTGCATCCTTATTTTCTTTTGCCCAAACTTCGTCAGCAAGGTACTTCTCAACTGTTCTCTCTGCTTCTTTGGGTTCTAAAGATGCATCTGGCTCGACAGGCAAGTGTACAGTGAAGATGATTGCCACGTGTTTATACAGTGCATTGTGATCATCGCAATATGAGTGAAACAACAGGGGTGCTGGTAAGGGGAGGAGCTCAAGGTGATGAACAAGTGCCACTCTTTGGCCTCTTTTAAAACTTCTTCTTAGTAAATCATCCATCTTTTTCTTGGTCTCCTCACCAGGGTAGCTCCTTTCTTCTCTTCCTTCAATTGTAGCTAAGATTCCCTTGTGTTCTGGATCTAATGCCTCTGCAAGCTTCCTGGCAAAGCAGTCCACCGTGCCGTGAGCAGCTGGGGGTGCAGCTAGTAACAATACAAGTGGCTGGGAGGGACTGGCATTCTTGAGATGTGCCAAGCCACGGTTCTTTAGGATCTTCCAAAACCGGTCAGTTTGGTTAGTGAAAGAAGATTGAAGTTCTTTTATCTTATTTTCAAAGATTATAGGAAGGACAAAAGGTTTTCTTTCGGGCTTTTCAGGGGCAATTAAAATAGCCAAGATAACTAACAAAAATGCAACAACTAAGAGGATACCAGCCAACCTCATGGGGCTAGCAGGTTCTTTGTCGGGCTGTTTCGTGATCTCAGTTGGTTCATCGGATGGTTCATCGGGGTGGTTTGTGATCTCGGGTACTCCTGTTCCTCCTCCATGCTCTGCAGCTCTGTCTCTTAGAAGTAAGTTTGATGGGATCTCATGGTGCTCTCTCCTTGTATTAAATCCATTCTCCTCTGTATGGCCCGCGTCTTCATCCGCTGGGTTATCTTTTTCGTTTTGTTTCCCCTTAACAGGCTTCGCGGAGGGAAAATTATCTCCAACTGTTGCATCAGCAATATTTTCCATCTTCACATTTTCATCTCCAAGCGGGACGTCAACTTCCCCAACCTTCTCCTCAACAGACTTTACATTTTTCTGTTTAGGGGCCATTTAGTAGATGTTTTCCACACTCAGCGCCATCAATTTTTTCTTGGAAAAGCAGGAATAAGAGATTTGCATCAAATAACGCGCGTTTTCCCGGAAACTTCCGCTTGGTAACCACTCGTTACGCCTCCTTTTCTAAAGGTTTATTTGATTGAAGCTGATTGAAAAAAACTTGTCGCGATTCTTGGCTTCAATATGGCGAAACGTGGGATGTTTTTGCTATTTATCGTGTTGTGTCTTACTCCAGTTCGAAAGGCATTCATCATCGAAAGTTGCGTCGGGACTGCTCTGTTATCGTTAGCTTATGTGGGGCCAAAAGTTTGGTGTCGTTTTAAAGAATGTTGCACAGATAGATGGATCTCCGCGAACATCACAGGTCTGCAATCAGCTTTACGCCGGCGCGTGTTTGGACAGCATTTAGTCACCGAGACAGTGCTTAAGGCAATAGTTGGACATCTGAATAATAAATCACCGAGCAAAGCCTTGGCGCTCTCTTTTAACGGCTGGACCGGATCAGGGAAAAACTTTGTTAGCAAGATCATTGCTGAGCATATTTTTAGGGAGGGAATGGAGAGTAAGTTTGTCCATCAAATCATTGCCACCCATGACTTCCCACACCAGTCGCAATTGGAACGTTATAAACGACATCTGCGTAGTTTGGTTTCTAGTTCGGTGTCACAGTGCTCAAGATCGTTGTTCATTTTTGACGAAATGGATAAAATGCCGTTCGGTCTCATAGATGTACTAAAGCCCTACTTAGACCACTACCCTGATGTTGGCAAAATTGACTTCCGAGGAAGTATTTTTATATTTTTGAGCAATACGGGAGGACATCTGATCAATGACGCAGTTCTCCGACACTGGAAAGAGGGGAAAAAGAGAGAAGACATTGGTATTAAAGAGATGGACAAGGTTGTTAACCTTGGCGAGTTTAATACTAAAGGTGGTTTCTGGCATTCATCGCTCATCGAGAAAAATCTTATAGATTATTTTATCCCATTTTTACCTTTGGAGAGATCTCATGTTAAAATGTGTGCAAAAGTAGACTTGGAAAAGAAAGGACATCCAGTTACTGAACAAGTCCTCAACAGAGTTGCAGATGAGCTTTTATACTTCCCAGAAGACTTAAAGGTCTTTTCACAGTCTGGTTGTAAGAAAATATCGAGCAAAGTTGACTATATCGTTAATTAGATTAGACAATGGTGTGAGTTAATTATAGCGATAAATAATTTTTCTGAATACAGTCCAACCCAAGCTTTTTAAAAAGACATTGAACAATGAGTGTAACTAGGCTAAGAAAATTTTGTGTTGATTTTTCCTAAAAGTAAGCATCCTCTGGTAGCCTGTGAATGCAGACCTATTTCCCCCACCTCAATTAGATTTCTCTCTTTGCAGGGGAACGTTAAACATTAAAGCTCTGTAACATACTACATGTTTATTAATAAAGTTTGTTTTTATTGTTGTCGTCACTTCTCTCCACCCAAAAACTAAACTGTAAAGGGTGGAGAGAAGCGATGACCGGAAATACATGTACTTCTGCATTCACAGGCTAATGCACTGGGTGCCTGAAAAAAAAAATGTCAAGGAAAAAAAAATGTCAAGGAAAGTGGACATTGCTAACATAAAGTCTAGTTTCAGGACAAATCTTTTCAAAGCACTGGCGGTTAAAAATACCTCCCTCCCCCCCCCCC